CACAGTTTATCCTAAGACATTGCTTAGTATAGTGCTTACAAAGAAATCGATGATACAGGTTCCAAGTAGCTGAAACTCAAATAGAAAAGGAAATTTCTTGTAATGTCAATTTTTCAATATGTATATGCACACACACACTTTTTTTCCTTTACTCATCCAGCTTGCTCCTGAACTTTCGAGCTTGCTCCTGAACTTTGAAAAAAAGGCTTTCCATTTTACTAAAGACCATTACAAATTCAGCCTGATAATCTAACTTAGTACTTTATAGCTTTAGCTCAGAAACTATATGCTAAACTAGTGTTGAAACTGTCAACTTATCTTGCTCTGGCTCACAGAGCAAGATACCTGACCAAGAGCTCATTGGGAAAAGAAAAGAACAAGTTGAGGAATTTTCTTTGTATATTTTTCTGATCCTCTCCCAATCTTCAAAATGGTCTATATATAGCACTGAAGACTGTTTGTTCATCATAGAAATATCTTTCAATGAGGAGGAAATTAAAGAAACCCTTTCTCCCCTCCCCTCCATGTTGCTAACATAACATGGGATCTGTTGGGAGCTCTGTGATCTCTGACAACAGCCTGTATGCAGGCAAAAAGTAGGATAAATTCTCCCAGTAAAAAAAAAAAAAAAGACAACCAACAAAACACCACACCCAGCCCCCCTAGAACCTAAATCCAAACTCAAAACATTCTACTTGCAAGACAAAAAAAAAAAAAAAAAAAAAGATTTCTCACATACCCTTCAGATGGAAAAATCTAGTAGAGCACAACTGCCTGGATAACCCGGTGTTTAAAAATGTGGAACTCCTAAGTTGTTCTTCTTGCTAACTCAGAAGGAAAACCCCCTAGGCTACCTCCCTCCCCACTCGCACTTAACAGATTCCTACAGTATAGTCTTCTGAGCTAGTTATCGTGCTACCTGCCAATATTCCCCTCTTCACTGATGTCTGCTTTGATTTTGTAACTAAGAAATGCATAGAGCTTTAACGTTCACATGTAAGAACAAAAACACAGTTAAAAGTAGTTATTCAGATTAAGCTATTCAGCTATACTCAATTAGGGTTGCAGACAAACGACAGGCCATTGACTAGTTTTTGGCAGGAGATTCAGTTAACTGAACAAGATGTGGAAAACTAGGACATGACAAAAAAATATCACTAGGAATTACAAATAACACTACGAGACAGTGACAAAAGTTACAGAGAGTGCTGTGAGGGCGGCTGGATCCCACAGGTGCTTACGGGGGAGTTACAGGAGAAGCTGCCAGACAGAGATAATTGGAAGGGACTACTAGGAATCTTTCAGGGAGTAAAGTCATGCAAGGCCAACAGCACCTAGGTAACCATATCAGTAATACCATATAAGGCTGAGATTATCTAAGTAACAGTAGCTAAATAACACAAATCTGAGTACAGATGTAGCAAAACTGGGACCAATAGGGAATAAGCAATTAGGGGTGGGTTGTTTATTTGGGAGGAGACTGGGATGGGAAAACAGAGGTGTAAGGACAGCAAAAATGAGGGCCAGGAAAGGGCAAAAGGAATAAGGTAAGCAGTTCATATTACTGGTGCCACACAGAAGTACCTGTCAGGCAGACCCAGGTTTCATCACCACAGCTGGGGCAGGAAAATAAACCAAACCCATTGCTCTGACCACACCACAAAACTCAAGCCTGTTTCTGTGGTCAGGAAATCTGGGGTAGGGGCAGACAAGGGTGCTGTTCCTGACCAGCAAGGGAACAGCTGGCTGGCACAGAAGACCTGGTGGTTGTGCCTTCTACACCTGCCAGCCCAGAAGGCTGCCCACTTCCCAACAGGCTCTTCAGTTAGTGAGTCTTAAAATTCTCTACAAGTTTCAGGTTCTTTCTTTGTTCTTTATTGGCTTGCTACCTTTCCATCATTGAAAAGTTCTAGAAATCAGACAGACAGTACACACAATACAACAATTGCCTTATCTGATGAAAGTTAATACCAAAAAGGTTCAAAGTAATGGCCATGTAAGCTCTGCAATTTTTTCACAGTGTAACTGCATTCTTCTTCAGGAGTACTTAAACAGAACACTTTTTAAAATTTAAATTTGACTGTATAGTATTATATTTAAGCTGGAGTCAGCAATGCCTGCACATATTTTCATGTTAAGATCATGTTAAGCACGTAAAATAACTTAATAAGTAAACTTGCAAGAAGGGAGTTTATTTTTCTTTTGCAGTAACATGAAACTGATCTCTTTCTGATTCTCCAATGACAAACATAATCAATGCTTATTTGATTTCTAAGGAAACATTGTAAAATGCTTCATCTTAAAAAAGAAATTCAATTTGTTTCATGTAAAGAATGCAGAAAAGGTCTGAAACAAGAACTGAATTTGAATGATCCCTTTTAGTGTCTGTGTAAGACCAAAACAGTATCTCAGAGAGCTGAGAAATGTGCATCCCATTTCAAAACAAGCCAACAAAACTTCATATAGCAACTGCTTTTCGTCACATTGTGTGATAATACTAACATTAGTAACTAAATGAAAAAGTTCTTATCTGGAACGAGAGGAAAAGAACTTTTAAAACTTGAAAAAGACATACAAAGAAAACAAAGATAATGTGCAAGTGTTAATAATGTGGGGGACGACACATTTCAGCTGCATACCTAACATGTTCTGTCAGTATAACTCTCAAGTTGATGGTAAAAGCAATAATGCAGGAAGAAGAAACTCTACCTTGCTATTTGTCTGCATTTTAATTTAATCAAAAGTTAATCATCCAAACTTGTGATTCCTTAGCTCTACTTGAAAATAAAATATAAAATTTAATTCCAGAGGCATTTTCTTATTATTTATTTCATGCTTTGTTTGTACAAGACATAAAACAGGCCTGCAGTAACAAGGATGTTTTGGCAAAGGAAAAGAAAGTATAAAAGCAGTGTTTGTAAACTGCCTCCTTAGTTTCATCTTAAGCTGATACACCAAGTTCACCTACCATTCCTACCATCCGTCAATCTGCTGGCTCCTATTGCAGCTTGAGTTGCAAACCAGCCACTCAGCTCACAGGACAGGTAAGTCTGGGATGAATCATATTTTGGTGAACTTCATCCCTACAAGCATAGATATGAATGGCACCCTGCTTGTTTGAGCTAGCTCACCTTCTCAGATCTTCAGGTTTTGGGTGTTTTTTTTTTTTAATGCAAATATGCACGTAAATGCTAGCCTTTGTTATTTTAAATACTACTTACATCAGTCATGATGATTTTGCTTAACTCCTAAAATTAGAAGTCTGACTTCTAGAGCAAAAAAGGGCTCTCCCACACACTCTTAACTTTTCTTCCTGACTGCCCACTAAAAAGAAAATCTTGTGCAACAAAGAAAAAAAATTTCTCTAGAAACATATCAGTCTGTAAGTATACACAATTCAAAATAGTCAAGCCAGGTATGAACACTAGACAGTTATTAAAGTAGCTGAATTCAGCCTTGCCAAAATATAAAGCCAGGTAGTGCAAAACACACGTAAACCAAACTGTGAAGCCTTATTGACTTCAGCTATGTATGTTAAACCATGCAATTACCAAAGGCTGTAAAGAAAGCATGCAAAAATACCAAAGAAACATCCTCTCCTTATGAATTAGCGTTTTTTTTCATTCTGCATATCTCTGAACCAGACTAATACAGTCCATAGGACTATCTTTCCAGTAGCTGCTCTCTGCCCTACCACTGTTTTTCTCCCTCTTAAACTAGTCTCCATTTTCTTTTGAAGCTCTTAACTGCTGCCACACCTGCAACACCAGACACAGATATTACCATCGTCTACTGAATTAGATTATATCAGACTAAATAGACAAAATGATGGAATTTAGGGCCCCATAAATACCAGCCTAAGAAGGAGCAGAGAAGCCACCAACATATTTCCCACCGCAGCCATTACAACCACAAGCTGTGTCAAGGAACTAGAGTCCTCCTACAAACAATGAGGAAAGAAGCCTTTGAGCACTCAGATCTGTTCCCTTTAGGCAAAGGGCCTATTCAAATTTCTACCCCACAAACCCATAGAATCAACTTAAAGTACCTTTTCTGCTCTCTTTCGTATGCCAGGTGATTAATCTGGTCCCAGCAGACTCTCCTAGCAGCTCAGCATTGTTCACCTCTTCCTCAGGGAGCATCTTAACCGAAGCACCCCCTGGGCTGGCCCACAGAAAGGCTAGAAAACTATTTTTAGTTTTCTGCCCTTACAAAAACCCCATCCCATCTTCCCCACCCAGGCACTTGCCACAGCTTTTAGAGTCTTCTAGCAGCCTCTGGCTAACTAGGGGCTAACAACCAAAATGCCAACACCTGAGGAAAGACTCATTAGCTGCTCTCCTGGCTAGGCTTTAAAAGGCAAAATTCTAACTAAACATAACTGGGCTTTTTATATGTCTGCCAAAAGGGTGTCTGGCTGGGGCCTCAGGGCCCCTGCACCACTCAAGCACGCGTTGCTCCAGTGAGTCACTTTAGGCCTAGCATAGCAACTAGCGCTTTTTTTAAGATCTCTGAAGTGGAGCAAAATATGAAACCAGAGCAGATGGGCACCAATACTATTTATAACCACCGAAGCCTTAGCTATGTGTCCCTGAAGAAAAAGTACGTTGGTACTGGAGGTTGGGCAGCAGCAGGTTGGTGCACAGGTGCCCCGTGAACTTCTGTGAGGTGCTTCGGGGGCGAGAAACGGCGCCAAACGAGGGACTCGGGGGATCTAGGCCCACAGGCAGGTGAACTGCAGGCTCGGAAATGACGGGGAGGAGGCCAGGGATACTGTTCTCACACGCACCGCTCCGCCCTGCCGGCCCGGAGGCCGGGAGGGGAGCGCGGCCCGGGGCAGCCCCGCCTCGGCTCCCGCCTCCCGGACGCGGCCCTGAGGGGCGGCCGCGCGAGCCCCCGCCCCGCGCCATGAGCGCCCCCAGCCGCGCCGCGCCGCAACTGGGTCAGGCGCCCGACGCGGGCCGACGGGGCGGGGCCGAGGGGGCGGGCTCCTCCCGCGGCGCGGCGTGGTGACGCCAGGCGTCTGCGCGTGACGTCGGGGCGGCTTTCGTCGTGCTCCCGGTCTCGCCCTCGCCGTCCCTCGGCCCGTACCGGCCCGCGCCCGCCGCCCGCTGCCGCCATGGCGAACGTGGCCGACACGAAGCTCTACGACATTCTGGGGGTGCCGCCCGGGGCCTCCGACAACGAGCTCAAGAAGGTGCGGGGGAGGGGCGGCGGCGCCCGGGGAGACCGGGCGGCAGCGCGGTGGGGGAGGGGGCGGGCTGGCCGCCGGGCAGGGCCGCGCGGGGCGGCTGAAGCGGGTGGCGCCGGCGGGAGGCGAGCGGAGCGGCGGGGAGGGGAGGGGAACGGCGGCCCCGGGCGCGGGCGGCGTGGCCTGAAGGCGGCGGCGGCCTGCCCGGCCGCGCGGCTGAGGCCTGCGGGGAGCGGGGGAGGGCGCGGCGCCGGGTGAAGGTGCCCGGTGCCGTCTCGGTAGGCCGCGCCGCGGAACCGCTGTGGGGCCGAGCGGGCGCCGCCGGAGCGGGGAAGGCCGCGGACAGGCCCCGAAGAGGAGAGAACGGAGCGGAAGGAGGCCGGCCGGCCTGCCGGAGGAGGGAGCAGCGGTGCCCGGCTTTCTCCCCGCGGCCCTGGCCCGGTGCCTCGCGTCGGTGCCTGGCCCTGGCCCCGCGGCCCTCCCCCGCGGCAGAGCGGCGTTCGCAGCCGGCGAGAGGCTTCCTGGCTGTAAAAGACCTCGTGAAGCCCCGGCAGGTTCTGCCTGGAGCCATTGTCCGCCCCACGTGCCGGCCTCGGTGAGGTTTCGTTTTGCTCAGATATGTGGTCCCTTACAGGCCGAGAGCGACAGGGGAAGGTAAACAAAGAAAGGAAGCGAAAACTTGGAGCCAGGTCATCAGCGTAACAATTCTCTATGTCTATTTTGTTCTGTAGTGTATCAACCACTTTTTTTTCTAAAAGAACTTAATGACCATTTACACATGAGTGAGGATAATTAACTAGGCAGTTTACTAGCAGTGACCTGCTCCCGCTGATGGGTGGTGCTGGTATTAACAACTGTGCGTTACCCGTCATGCGTGTGGTCGCCTCATTTGTGCAGGGATAGGCAATTGCAGTGTTGAAATAATGTTAGAGGTGGAAGGCATGTGGGGAGAAGATAGTGCTGTATACTGAACACAGTCAAGTATATTATTTTTTTTTTCCTTACTGAATTTTCTTAAAGGTATCTGTGTCCTGTAAGAATAAAAAAAATGATAGCAGTTTTCCACACAGATAGTCTGTGCTGCTCAATATTAATGGCTATAGAATAAATTTATGGAATGTAAAGTTTTAAACTGCCTGCAACAGCAAGAAGTTCATCTATATCTTGTCCCTGAGAGGTCACATGGATGCTTTATTAATCTGATATTCTAATCTATATGACAGTATAGGAAAGTGGAAACATAGGTAAACAAATAGAAGGGGTTGCGAGAACAGGCCTTAACACTTCTTAGTTAAATTAACTTTTATTGAATTTATGATATGGTGCTAGTGTAGACCTTGATTCTGGATCTTTTTTGGATTAAATAAACAGTGCTAGCTTACTTTTGGGCCACGGGTAGTTTTAAGAATTGCTCTAAACTGGAATGCTGTTATCAGCAAAGACGAGTGCTATTTTTTTTTAAAGAAGATCACCATGTAAGCCCCTTTTTTCTTGATTAGATAAGGTTGTGTAAGTTTTCAGTTTAGTGTTCTGGTTTTTGTTTTTTTGTTTTTTTTCTTGGTTAGACTCCTTAAAATACATGGGAAAAATCCATTTATATTACGGAATATGTGGGTGTTTGGAAGATTATGCTTTGTTACTGATAAGTCCTGTAAGACCTACATTTTTTGTTCTTTATGCTTATTACGGGTTTGAACATTTGGCTAGTAATATCAATGTTCTATTTTTGTTTCATTAGCTCCTTAATCAAACTTTATTTCTTGATCGCATGCAGAAGTGTGGAATATTTGAAGATAATCAGTAAAGAGAAGTAACTGTGCAGATACAAAAGAGGAGTCTTACTTGTTCCGGTACAAAATGGAAAGTTGTGATCTCTAAAACTTTGTGTGTAAAGATCTCTTAAGGTTGTAATTCTGAAGAGCTAGTTTAGGTGCTCAGTTCTACAGAAACAGAGATTTTGAAAAATCCACTCTTAAGAAGAGCATTTCAGTTTGCAGTTGTATTACTGTAGCTTTTTTAATGTATATAATTTTAAAAATAAGATTGTATACCATATGATTTAGTAATATTTTCCCCCTGATTGTTACTGGGCGAAGTTGAGGGGAAGAGTTGTGATCTTTGCCATCAAAAACTTAAATTGTAGGAAAAGTCTCTGCTTGTTTTGTTACTTGCTTTGATTGTCTAAAGTATATGCAAAACAGATTAAATACAGCTGTAGAAAAAGTGGTGATCCTGAGAGTTAAAATACGGGTCAAAAAAAAAAACATTCTGAAAAATCTCTTCTGGAGATGTGGCTGTACTTATTCCTTCTCCTGTTTTAGAAGAATTAAGTTAAATAAAAGCAATGATCTATACATTTCTGCACATGTAACTCATATACTTAGTTCAAAATGAGATTACATCTTCCATGAGTGATAGGTAGGGAAGAATAAAATTATTATCACGAGGATTGACTGATAGGGTTGAATGAGAGGCTGAGGCAGCCATTTTGTTGTTAATGTATTGTTGTGATTGAGGTGAAAGACAAATGGGTTGAACCTTAAATTGTCATATTGTAGGTTTTGAGTAGGTTCTGCAGAGTAAGTCATTTTAATGAAAGTCTGATGTGATTCTTTCTGTAAGTTAACAAACATAAGCAGGAAAACTAGTTCTAGCTATTGTGTGCTATAGTTGTATTTAAATCCAAGTAGTAATTAATTCATGTGTATAACAATGTCAGAATTTCTGTATCATTTCAATATATGAGTGATTTCAAAACACTAATTTTCTCACTTTGCTTTATTAGAATTTCCTTTCTTCCTGAAGACACTACTTGAGTTTATCAGAAAATAACTGATTAATCAAAATTGAAACTTATTTTGTACCTCTTTCAACTAGGCATACAGAAAGCTGGCCAAGGAATACCATCCTGATAAGAATCCAAACGCAGGGGACAAAGTAAGGCTTTTTTTTGTTTAAATTCCTGAAGTTTGTTATTATAGTAGCATCTAAGGGACCAAATGCAGGTGTTGGGAACTTGCTGTTAAAAGTTGTTCAAAAATAATAACTGTGAGAGGGAACCCTGTCTGGTCTACTTCTTCCCAGTATCAATCTACTGGTGTACCCCGTGAAAAAAATGCAGCAGTTGGCTGAGTCAGTTTGGTTGAGAAGGCAATGGTGAGGGAAAAACTGCCTCTTCATCTGCCGAGATTGTCATCTGGCATTGGGTGACAAGGCGTATTTGAAAAAGATAGTTTTCCAGATTTTTCCAGTGTGGAAAAATGTCTGTATGGAGGTTCTTGAAACTACTGTAGCACGAAACAACAAATTACGTATGTGGGAAGGTTGAATTAGATTTGTTATGCTAATAGCAATTAAAAAAATGTCAATTAAGTTGACTCAGCTGATCCTCTTTAACAGAACTGAAATTCTAATGGTTGCTTAGAGGTGAGCAGAGATGACTCTGAAAGGATATTAATTTGTTTTGAGGACAAACACATAAATATGCATTTTAGGAAGTGGCTCAATTGTTAGCGTATTTTAAGTGCCTAACATACCTTGAAGTCTTTTCCTTTAGTATGTTACTGGGGTTTCTTTGTCTGTTGGCTATTGCATTATTGTGTACTTGGGGGTTTTCTTTGGTTCAGAATTTTGTTTGTTTATAAGAAAGCTGTCTTATGCTAGGCACAGTAAAGAACAAAGTCAATGAAGTTTTTCAACAAAATGTCATATTTTATGGTGAGGTAACACAACTAAGTCCAAGTCTGACTTTTAAATCTTGCATATTAGAGTGAGGGTGGAAAGCTGTTCTGTTGTGTACCTTCTTAATCGTGTGTTTGTGCTGGGCAAGAAACAGCAGTAAAATGCTCCCTTGAAGTTCTAAATTATCATGCACTGTTTTGACTCTGTTCCTCTTCTAGTTCAAAGAAATAAGCTTTGCCTATGAAGTATTGTCAAATCCAGAGAAACGTGAGTTATATGATAGATATGGAGAACAGGGTCTTCGAGAAGGTAGCGGTGGAAGCAGTGGAATGGACGATATTTTCTCCCATATCTTTGGTGGTGGATTGTTCAATTTCATGGGTGGTCAGAGTAGAAGTCGTAATGGTAGAAGAAGAGGAGAAGATATGATGCATCCACTCAAGTGAGTATCTTGATACTGCAACCTGTATTTTCAAACTTTCCTGATCAGTACTTGGCTAGGTTATATTCTTGATATGCTTCTCAGTTGGGGTATTCTGCAGTCTGCACCTACTTTTCAGACCTGTGTGTTTTGTGTAGCCCAGAAGGCAGTCATTTTGAGTTACTTCTCATGATTGGTTAATCTTACAGACTACCTAATACTTTGCTTTGCCTGGTTATTAGCCTGTATATATTTTGTTAGCATTATTTTCCTTGGTTTTGCTCTTTAATTATGTTTGGAAGTTCTAATCTGAAAAAAGCATTCAACAACCAACCGAGTGTTATTAGCTGGATTCTTAGAGAAGCAGAGGTACTGAGGCTCTGGAAAGACTTAAGTTGACTTGCAGTTATAGTGTAATACCAGCTGGAACTAAAGTTGAACTGCATAATTAATGGGAAAGTGTGAGGGGTTTTGTTTTGTTTTTTTAAAGCCATGCTTGAATATCACATCTAATTGTGTTTTGTAGATCTCTGCTTGCAGTCATGACTGGCTTTTTGTCTGCTGAGCAGGTCCTTTCTAAGTTCTTAAGCTAAGCTGCATCTTTCCTGTGGCTGGCAACCTGTGCTTACCAAAGTCTGTTTACTTTTACATGCTTGCTTAGTTTAGTAGCTAGTACTGCACACTACTATTAATTAGCTTTCATTTGATGGTTGTTTGTAAACACTGATGCCAGGCAACCTTTTCTCAGTACAATGAGTTGAAATTTCTGTCCACTAACAAATCTTGTCAGGAGAAACACTAAATATGTTTATAAACTTATTTCAATATGTGAAGGTTATTGGAGTTTGATAGTATATTCAAGAGCTTCTAAAAAAAAAAAACACAACCAAAAAGAAACTGAAACATGAACAAATCTAAAGAATTAAGTGTCCCTGGAGACAATCCTAACCCCTCCCTACAAACTATCTTGTGTGAAAAGCCCAATACAGTAGTAAGTATTTTATATGTATTTTTACATATGCATGCTATAAATACTGTCAGGACTGTCTAGAGGCGTTTGTTTCTTACCTGCCTGGTAGAACTAAAAAAAATAAAGCAACTATGACTGTATAATAAAACCTAAAATGTTCTATCAGCTTGTTTCCTGTTGAGAAACGCAAGCAATCCTATCTGGTTTCTTCTGATTTAAATTACAGCTTTTCTCTGAAACTATGTTCAGGATTACATGTGTATATTCATAGGTATGGAGTAGTTTTTAATGACTCATTGTGAAAGCTAAAATGGTGCTTTTAATTCTTATTTTAATAGCAGTTTTAGTATTTTTATGAATATCTGGTTTTCTTTAATGTGTCCTACGCATGTATTTTAATTACATGGGGGAAGTAAGTTGTTAAATGATAACCCAGGAGAAATGTTTTATTTTGTAGAGTCTCTTTAGAAGACCTGTATAACGGCAAGACAACTAAACTACAACTTAGCAAGAATGTCCTTTGTAGTGCATGTAATGGGTAAGTTTGTTTATATTTTTGGGTTTTCTGGTTGCTGCTTTGGCATACAATGTAATAAAGCATCTCCTGTGTCAGATCTTTATCAGTACTTGACTTACTGGAGCCTGCTCTCAGACTAGAAAATTGTTCAACTTGAATGATACTGTTGATGGAACTGAACTATTCAAGGGCTTTGGGGGAAGGGGAGAGGAGAGAACCTAATTATAACTGGCAGTGCAATTAGGCATGTTAACTTACTGATGCAGGGGTTTTTTGTCATGTTCCTGAAAAACTTACTTCTCATGCAACTGGTGCTTTCTATTCTAGGCAGGGAGGGAAGGCTGGAGCTGTTCAGAAATGCAATGCTTGCCGGGGTAGAGGTGTACGTATCATGATCAGACAGCTGGCTCCTGGAATGGTTCAGCAAATGCAGTCCGTATGCTCTGACTGCAACGGAGAAGGTAGGCCAAGCTATTCTGTTAGTAAATGCATTTAGGTGGATTCAACCTCCCGGTTAAATCTCAGGAGGAACTTATCCAGGGCAGTTTTGCTCCAACCTAGTCAGTTGGGTTTCATTCTGATGTCAACATGGAGAAATAATTTTACTCAGAACAACAGCAAGACTTAGTGTTTCATGTATTGAAAAGCAGCTTGGAAGCTTGAACAGTAGGGATTGATTATTTTTAAAAACACTTAGATGTGAATATTACTTACTGCTATTACTCTTGTGTTAAAGTAAAAAACAAGATTTTGTTGTTTTAAGAGCTTTTTTTGTCTTTTTGCAGTCTCCTAACATCCAAGGACAGGTTTAAGTTAAAAATGTAAACCTAAAGTTGAATTTGAACTACTTTGAACTAAGATACCTTTTGCTGAATTGGTTGTGTTTGGGGGAACAAGTTTTTAGCACATGAGCTGCATGCAGATTAGTAACATCACCTTGTGGAGGATTTTACTTGTAACCATACTTGGAAATTACAGAATTGTATTTTGTGACCAGTCAAAACATTTCACAGATTGTGTTGTCTTTGAACATGTTGTTTTCACAGTTTACATACCTAACCTACATATTTAGTAGTTTCAGCTACATCATAATGTTATGCTTTGTTTCACAGAACGGTGGTTTAAGCTGGCAAGTTTAATGTCTTGAGCCAAGTGCATCTGCTTGTGACACTTAGAGCAGTAGTGGAAATAAGTACTGAAATCGTACAATGCAAATAGAGAATTTAATCTGGTTTGGACAGTCATCTTTCAGTTTGTTGGAAAAAGTAATTGTCTTGCTACAGGTGATGGACAATGTGAAAAACTGCTCAGTTTCAAAGTGAAATCCCTTATGTGTCAGAAAATGTTAGATCCTTTCCATGGGAAAATCCATATACTGCTCTTGCATGGAACTGATTTGACCAGCTATCTTTGTGTCCGTCTGTCCCCTCTATTTTGTATGCCACTCTCTAGTTCTACTGGTTACTCTTAGTTGTGGTGGTATATTGCAAAATGTGGCTGTCAATGTAATGCAGTAATCCTTTTTCCACTTTTCTTAACAGAAGTGGAATTAAGCTTCCTAAATTAGTTGAAAATAGTTTGAAATTTATATTCTGACTTTGAAGGGCAGGGAGATGTTTCAGTCTGGTTTTAGCTTCATCTTTTTTTTTTAATAGCTGATACCTTCCATCATAACAAGGAATAGGAAAATAGGCTTTTCCCTCCTTCCCCCCCACCCCCCCCCCCCTTAGGAGTAGTAAGTTGAGTGGTAAGGATACTGGAGTCAAATTAAGATTTAAGGAACACTAGAAGCTATAATATTGTTTTGCTTTTTGTAAAGCACTCCTTTTTCCAAATGCTTGATAAAACAGCTTGGAAGGTTATGTGTATCTTTATTTCCTCTTCTCTTCCCCCCTGCCTTTATTTTTTCCTTCCCTTTCTTCCAGCGAGGATAAATTGAGCCTGGCTTTCATCTTGTGAGGAATTCATAAAGCAGCATCTAAATCACTTAGTTGTGTTGCGTGTATTCTTCAGCTTACTTTTAAAATAGTTGTTCTTCAGAATCAGATGCAATTAGGAGGAAATCTACAAACTCAAAATTTGTCTTTATTTAGGTGAAGTAATTAATGAAAAAGACCGCTGTAAAAAATGTGAAGGGAAGAAGGTGATCAAAGAGGTAAAAATACTTGAAGTCCATGTAGACAAAGGCATGAAACACGGGCAAAGAATTACATTCAGTGGAGAAGCAGATCAGGCTCCAGGTGTGGAACCAGGCGATATTGTCCTCTTACTCCAAGAAAAGGAGAATGAGGTAATGCTTTTGAGTTTATATTTTAAATGCCTTTTATCCTAGTCTTTAATATTTAAGTAATATAAATGGCTGTTCATTTTAAAGTAATTCATATAGTTGCAGCTCTGGGAGAAATGGTGAATAGCTTTTAATAAATTTATAGCAAGTAGCATAGCTTTCATGGTGAGCCAGAAAAAGCTTTCTAAGTCTGTAGCTGGAGGACGTGCAGATTCTGGTGCTTCCTAATGCTGATAAAAGGTAGCTTTCTCAGGTAAGCTCAGGCTGACTTTGATACAGTGGACACAGTAAAGAGCCATTCAGGTTCTTAACTTCAGTCTGCTTTGCTTGTGACAGTAACAAAATGCTAGATGTTACTTTTTTCCCAGTGTGTTGTGGTATGGTACAGAACTCCTAGCAAAATCCCCAGATGGTGCTTTCTATCTTTGCTGCTGTGGTTGTGGAAATATAACACCTAATACTGATGTTACTGATTAATTTAACAAAACAAACACACACATTTATTTTATGCTAGTTTTGTTAAGGCATATGCTTACTGTTTCCTGGAGTAAATACATTGTACTCTTGAATTAAGTACTGCAATTTCCTGTGTTAAAACTCCCTTAGGGCAGAGTTGAGGTGACTGCTTCTTTTTTTTAATGCTTTTGTTTAGAAAGGCTAGGTATTACTATGATAAAATAAGAAATAGTTTGTGTGTTACACTGAAAAAAATGTTGAATGGAATGATGGCGGGGGGGGAGTTCTGTAGTGACACAAGGAATAGCACTGGGTACAAACTTTAAATTCCAGTTGCATATGAAGGATATAGTGTAGCTAAGTCAAGGACTGGTAATTTGTCAATCAGTTTTGCCTAGCTCTTAACACATTCCTCTCTTCTGTAATGCTAGTTGAAATGTGGCATTGCAGTTGATTTTAACTATAAGGGAGAAACAGTCTGTAAGTATACAGAAGTCAGATGTGCATGATGGCATCAAATTCCAGATGGTGGATACTACTTCTGTCTTCTAATGAACTACGTGTAATTTTACAGTATTAACAGTTCTGGAAAATACTGTACCTTGTGTCCTAGTGACTGAAACTAGGCTGACTTTTAGTGAAGCTTTTACTGTTCTTCAAATTTCTCTTGAGTTGTGAGTCATGGTTCTGCCAGTAGATAAAGCTCACATCTACTTTGACTCAGAATCCTGAGTGATATGGCTTAATGATCACTTATGACAGCTTTTGACTAACTGATCAAAGCCCTGCTGTAGATAAAGGTAGCTGAAGCAGATAGACATGATGACTAGTTAAATGTTGGGAAACAAAGATGTGTGTGTTGTACTCTGGTGCAGGGGAAGTAGTGTCAAACTGTCCTAAGTTTTGTTTATAGGTTGTTTATATAGAATATCTTGGGGGTAAGAGAGCACTGCTGCTGTACAGGCCTTCTTGTTTAATTTGAACCCTACATCGCAGTGTATAGTGTGGTTTGCCTTATCTGAGGTGACACTTTCATCAGGCACAAATGTTCCAAGTATGTAAAGCTATTTAAATTAACAGAATCAGGTTGCCTTTGAAGAAAGGCTGTTGCTCTGACACAGAATTTTAAGAATAAATAATAATGAATTCTATATAATGAGTCTTGTGGAGATAAGTTCATAGGACTAGAAAAGAAGATATCTCTTGATTTTGTTTTTTTAGGTGTTTCAGCGGGATGGGAATGACTTGCATATGACACACAAGATTGGGCTCGTTGAAGCACTCTGTGGATTTCAGTTCACATTTAAGCACCTTGATGGACGTCAAATTGTGGTTAAATACCCTCCCGGAAAAGTAATTGAACCAGGTAAGCTGGACCTGATAAGGACTTTTTTGACTGTGCTTTTGTGATTCTTGAACACTTAAACTCATTCTTGTCCTGTTAACTGAACCTAGGCCAGAGAAATGAGGAAAATTGTCTAGAGAAGGATCTGTTCTGAAGTAGCACTCTCCAGCTTACTTCTCTTTGAATTACAGGTTGTGTTCGCGTAGTTAGAGGTGAAGGAATGCCACAGTATCGCAATCCTTTTGAGAAGGGGGATCTTTACATTAAATTTGATGTTCAATTTCCTGAAAATAACTGGATTAGCCCAGAAAAGCTTTCAGTAAGTAGTTTTTCAAGTGTAAATGTGGTGGTTTTATTTGACAGCATAGGCAAATTGGGTATGTTGTACCTCATGTGCTCGCTTTCAGTGCTTAAATTTAGATGCAAGTACAATTGTTCTTTTAATGTTTATGGGCAACGTGTAATTTGAAAATACCCATTGGAATATAAATTCATGGAACCTGTATTTAAGAGCCGTGCAGATGTTGGGCAGATAAGGGCAGGAGGAAGAATCTACCTGCTGCAGTGTCATAAGTTTTTGGAGTGCGACTGTATTTACTGATTGCACTTTGGCTGATGATATGTGGAGCTCTTGGTTTTCATAAAGTGGCATTTTCCCAGTGATACAAATACTTCGGATACTTTTAAATGAGTATGCACTTCGGGTTTATGTCAGCTTAGACTTCTAAACCAAACCTTCTCTGAGGGAGTCTTGAACTTGTGGGAAACTGATAGCTTTGTTTAGCAGTTGTAGATGCAGTACTGAATACGCTTGTTTTTTTGGGGCAGGAACTTGAAGATCTTCTGCCAGCTAGACCAGAATTTCCCAATGTAATTGGTGATGCAGAAGAGGTAGATCTTCAGGAATTTGATACCACTCGTGGTTCAGGTGGTGGCCAGAGACGTGAAGCCTATAATGATAGTTCTGATGAAGAAAGCAGCCATCATGGACCTGGGGTACAGTGTGCCCATCAGTAATCGTTTGTCTAAAAAGTTGCACAAGGATTTTCTTTCAAATTTTGCCTGACTTGTTTTCAACAATCCAGCTGGATTGTATAAGTAATCCAGATGAACCAATGGACATCTATTGCTGTATGTGTAACTTTTAAATTGGTCTATAGTATCTACAGAGTGTAATTTAAACTAACCACAAGCTTACATCTTCATTTTGACTGTGTAGCAGAATAAAGCACTTGAAAGGAAGACGAGACTCCTTTTCACATGGGTTTTAAGTTTGTCCTCGTATCTGTGCTTGATTTTTACCAGTTTTGTGTAGATTTTAAGTTTCATATTTTAAATTCAAATTCTACATTGTAAAGTTTGTGTACAATTTGTCCTGAGGCTTGGTATTTGGCTGCACCTGCATAAGCTGCTACAAGTAGAATAAAGAATTTCATAGCCTGTATCTATCATCTAGATGCATGGTAAATGGGCTTTGCACATAATGGGTTTAGAGCTGACTGGGAACAATGGAAGACTAAATTAGAAGTGGTTGTAAGTTTTTTCTACCATCTTGTGAACGGTTTCTGAAATTAAATAAAAGCAGTTGGTGTATAATATATTTCTTTTGCCTTGTAACTCTTAATTTTCCAATGGCTTTAACTGTTCTGTGTACGAAGAGACTATGTAGATGGTAGACATTTTATAAACACAGGGAGGCTGAAGCTGCTTTAAAGACTTGGTTACAGTTAGATAAAAATTGTGTGCCACATATAAAAGTCTTTCCTTGAAATAAGGTATGACTGAAGGGGCACAGGGAAGTCTGCAGCCATGTCCCCTTTGTATGAATCAAACACAAGGATATTGTGAGTTCAATCAGAAGATAGCAAAACCTTTTAAATTAAAATGATGAAATCCCAAAATAATGGTGTCTTTATCTTAGCTTTTGAATCCAATTCAAAGCCTGATTTGGCCTGACTTCCTAGAGAAATGTTTCCAGTTTGAAAGTCTTTGTAAAAATGAACATTATGCCTCACAACTTGTGGTTGTATTAACACAGTTTGTAAAGAGATTGAGATTAGTACTGTACTTGACAAAAATTTTTGACCTGGAAACATCCTAAATGTATATGGTTTTGTTATTTTTCCAGTAGTTTATGCTTTGTTTCAACTATTAAGACATTAAGTTCTCCAGCTTCAGTTCTATTCCTTTTTATATGCTTTTAATTGGTAAAAATACCACAACAAAGCAAAAATGTGACCTTAAGTAATTATTGGGTACAGTTAGTTATCTAAGCATTTTGTTACGTTACTGTGCATGAACTTCTGTTGGTAAGCTGCTTACCTATAGTGAGGTTTCTCTACCTTTTGTTGAAGTGAGGAAGTTGAAAGATGCCTTTGCTTTTCTTTACAAATCTGAAGTGTGACATGTTTAATTATTGCTCAGATAGTTGTTGAAACTTTACCAATGAGGTTGGAGGGACAAACTCCAAGGATTTCCATGTGCTGGGGTAGGCACTGGCATTTTGAGTATTGCTGAACATCCTTGTTGCAGACTCTAAAACTGAAGCAAGAATAAATACTGTTTGATCTGTATTTCAGTACTGATTTCTTATGCTGTGGTACTCGCATCCAGTAAATCTTTATTTTAATTTATGAAAACTTCAGGTTGCTTTTTGTGAAGCCATGGTTACATACTGGTCCTTTCTCCCGATTCAACCTGTAATGCTTAAATGATTAAAACACCAGTCTTCCACTTTTACGTAGTAGCTTTAGGATTTGCCTCCTTGGAGGAAAACTGATTTTGTACTCTAAACATTTTATCTCTTTTTTTTTCAAGTGGCTTTTATGTGGGGGTATGGAGGAAGGGATTCATGATAACTTTCTGGATAGCGTGCTGAAGTAAAGGGGTGGAGGTGAAGTTGATTCCTGCATGTGGTGCAAGTTAAACTAGTTCTGTTTCAGTCCTGAAAGTGCCTTAATTTAGGTTACTGACAGCAGCATCTTTCAATGAGTGGGGGTGGCTTCAGAGTCGTCCTTACTATATGTATTTCCAGCTTTATGAAGAGGGTATCCCTTTACAAAGTTGTAGCTTAGAGAAACCTCACAGCAGTTCAGTCTACACTGTCTTGGCTCCAATATTTAAGTTGCAAGTAATATACTACTACAGTTACTAATGCTTTAGCAGTTTAATGCTTAACATAGCCCAGTGAAAGCATTAACAGCTAATGTGACTTGTATGAATAATCAAATAAACATTAGTTGAGTGTTCTCAGTAATAAACAGCTGCAACTTAAGTACTTCTGTTAGAGGTGGTACTATAAATAAGTATTCTGTATGTTGAGGGAGGAAGAAAATGTCATCACCAGAACTGTATTAGAACCATTTTTTAGTTAACACTTTTTTTATACCTTTAATATTGGCCTCAAGAAGCTGAGAAGAGAACCTCAGACAGTCTTGTCTACCTTATTTTGTGGCATACTTCTGCATACACAGTGACTCAAACTGGCTTAAAGTTGAGACTCATAGAAAGTCTTATCTGTTCTCTTAAGTGCATTTAATTTACAAAGGTGTTCACAGCAAATATTTATTTATAAGATACCAACAGTGGTGTGGCTCTTGCTTACATAAAAGATGAGGTTATGTTCTTTAGAAAAACAGGTTTGTGGTGAAGTTAGAAGTAGTATTTCTTCCAGTGATGCCTACTGTTTGAAAAAAATGAACTATGTCAAAGATTACTGTTTGAAAAAAATGAAAAATGTCAATTTCTCAGCCCTCCAACTAGGATGTTACAGGAAAATTGTGTTAGTTATTAACTCATAACCTTCTACTGTAGCCTTAGGCTGATGCAAGAAGTTTAGACAATCCCTGTAAAGGAAGGGTGGTGGGGCATTAAATTGTATTCCTCAATGAATTTAAAAGAGGGCGGAGATGTAAATGGAATTCTGTAGGCTTTCTAGCATAGTGACAAGTCATAAGAATTCCTTCAGTTGATTGAAGAGTCCTTGTGCTTCATTACAGGGTAGATCCTGTGAGTTTGCCACTACCAGCTTTCAGTAGTAGCCTTTTGGTCACAAAAAAACCCTGATTTCTAACTTTCAACTCAGAAAATACTTTAAGAGAACGTTAGATCAAACACTAGTAGGTATTTTTGTAATATGACTACCACCCTACCTCAACCCCGAGTGAGATGTGCAATAAAGGTGTGGTAGCCTGTCTTACAAAGCATGCCTAACACCATACTTTTTCCAAAAACTCAAAGAACTACAGGTTTCAGTACTGCAGTGCGATCTTGATTACCTTAGTGTAGTAACAGCACTCCTTCACTCTTAGTTACTAAGTCATTCATGTAGAAATGTCTACTTGCCTACATTAATCAAAAACTGACACCACGTTGATATGAGGCCCTTATCAATTTAAGTGAGAACAGATATTAATTCAAGTTAAACTACTAACTTGAAGAACTAACTATTCATGGGTGCTCTGTAAACTTCATGTATAATCTGAATTAATACAATCTGGTTGCCAAAGGAGAGCATAGTTTTAATTCAGGTTTGATAGTGTTTCAACTAAGTGCTGTTAAAGGTTTTGTCTCCCACACCTTGGAAAGCTTTATTTTTTTTTCCTTATTTGAGACCTGGGACTTTTGTTAAGAAAAAACATAGATTTCATTTTTAAACTGTTTTAGTTTAAAGAGTGTAGGAGTCTTTCATACTACTCTTTACAACAGTGAAAACCCTTTAATTGAAGTCACCCCGGCAATGAAAGCCCAGTGCATCCCCAATTTTTGAAAATACTAGAGCACCTAGAGCAGCGTTACTGCAGGCCTCGTCTCTCCACCTAGAAACATGTTAAAAGTCTTTCCTATAAGTTACTCAAAAGTATGTAAGTACTAGAAAACTTGGGTTGACACAAGTTATAGTAAGTCTAGGTTGCTCTTGTCTTGCACATTACTGTCATGTCACAGCACAAGACTGGAAATAATTTTTTTTTTTTCCTGTGTCAGATTCATATATGCCACCACAGAACTGAAGTAACGTGCCTTAAAGTGTTATTCAAGAATTGAGAAGCTTGAACTTCAACTTAATTTCTGAGTTATTATTCAGGGAGATTGATACTGGGAAGAGTAAACACTAGGAGTAAACCAACATGCCATTCTGCTTGTGGCATGCATGGAAGAATGACACAGTAGAGCTCTATAGTTATAGTTCTGTAAAAAAAAAAATAAAACCCCAAAGTGTCCTATTTAGAACATCAGAGTTAAAATGTGTTTCCTACATACAGCCTATTACTGCTCATTTTACATGAAGGGAGATTAGATGTTAATGAAGCCTTTCATAAAGAAGTTGAAACAGTAGGATTACTTCCTTCTACTTTTGTATTCTTCACAGAGATAACAGAATTTAATAATATATATCACACTGTAAGCTTTTATATAAAAAACGTTTACTGGGTAGTATACAGCTTTATTAAGACATTACAGACATTCTCTAAACACATCAGAGGCAGCAAGCATATATTCTGTTCCATTAACTTGGTTTAGGTATTGCTTTTCCACATAGTACAGTCAGCTCACTCTAAGGGGGGAGAAAAAAAATCATCTTAGTTCAAGCTACCCAACAGAAATTGGAAGAGAAGTCACTACTGCTAAAGCAAGCAGTGAGCAACCACTCCCCCATTCTTTACCTATAGCAGCAGGTCCATGCTATAAAATACAAAACAGCTTCCCTTTAGCTTAACTCATATAGCTGCAATTCAAGTCTAAATAGCTGGAAGACGGAAGCGATTAATGTTTCTTATGTCTAGATAGATTTCTAGTGCTGCACATTACTTCATCCAAAAGCCCAGGTACCCTAATCTTCAGAAGAATAAGGCATTATGTGCTACAAAGTTCTGTCAACTTCATTCTGCTTCAAAACTATTTACTTCCCCAAACTAAAGGTAAGGCAATTACTATTCAATTGCAGCAGAGAATTAACAGTATAGTTCTTACTCAGCAAGGGACATAGAATAATAGAGAGATTATAACAAGAATTGAAACTTGGCTGTAGCTTTGTAAGCCTTTGTGAATATGAGATAGAGAATGGCAGTTTGCTCACATGGTAGGAGAGACACCAGAGCAATCCAGAAGAAGGGGTTTATGCTTCTCTTGTCCCCCAGGCAATTACCAAACTGCACATGCTTATTTAAGTGCATTTCTTTTACAAATTATCTGTATGCAGCAGTTCTACCCTCCCTCTTCTCCCTTGCCTTATCCTTCCCTCCAATTTATGCCAACCAATTTAGGCTTAATTTCAGAAGAGTTACAGCCCTTAGAATTTGCATTCATGACTATCTCACATGAAAACCTGAGACTAGGTGTCTGAGTTTTTATATGTAAGCTTACTAGTTTAAACTTACCACTAAGTTATGAATATGCTGTACTGTATCTTGATTTAGTAGTTGCACATCAATATTATGGAGGTCTCCACCAGCCGTGCAGAGTGTCTAAACATGAAAAGAAACAGTTTCAAGAAAAATCATTCTGAAAGTTTTTACCTGCATGGCCAGCTTTTCTGAAAATCATGTGCTTCCCTGCTACACCAAACCTCAGTAACCATTATTCCTTTTGTTTAGCAGCAACTCATTTAGGGATAGCAAAAGCTATCACTATCAGACTATTCACAGTTTATGAACTACTGCAAGGTGAAAATGTTTTTATTAAAAAAAAGTTTGATACCTGTCCATCAGCGAGGGGAATGTTTACAAATGGAAGAGTTTTATCTTGGGGTACTGATTTACTTCTTAGTAACATGCCTTGAACTCTTCCACTGATAGGTACGGTTCTTGAGACAGTCTGCTGTAGTCTGGCACTAGAATTCAATAAATATATTACTCTGAGGTTAACTTTCAATGCTCAGCAGGAAATTTTCAAGCGTAAGGCAAATTCAAGTAATAACAAACATACCTAAGAGAAAGGCAATCATATTTAAATTTTTCTAGTTCTACCAGAGGACTACAGGAAATCCAACCATCAGCAGCGCTGACTAGCACCACTAGGTAATGTTTTACGACCCTGAAACAGTGCAGCAACCTTCTAAGCCTGTCTTACCGGCCCAGTGAGCAAGCTGACATTTGGGCCACTTGGCAACAAGAATATCCATCCACTCTCCAATATCAACACTGAATGTTTATAGTTTTGGAAAGAGGAAACTTCATGCCTCAGGGCTTAGGACAAGACATGTGCTGTATCAAGAAATACCAAAGCTACTAGCTCTCAGAGGTACAGGTTGTGCCTTATGCCAGACAAAATGTCTAAGCTTCCTTCATATCACAGTTTTTCTTACTCCACTTCAAAAATGTAATATTTGGGTATCTTCTGCATGGAAGCACAGTTCTGAAATTTATAGCAGGCCAATGTGAAACTAAGCTACTTGCTGGTTTCATGACCCATTTAAGTTTAGTTTTTCACCTCCTCACTTCAGCTGATGACTTCTGCCAAAACCAAACTCTCCAGTATATGGAGAATGATAACACCTAAAAACCTTAACTTTTCAATATGCAAAGAAGTCATTGTCAATTTATTTGGTTGGGGTTCTTTGGGGGTTTGGCTTATTTCAATTTTTTAAAAAACACAGCTGTATGGGTGACAATCAAGCCTGAGCTCTGAGAATTGGTTGAAGCTGTAAACTATATCTTTAAACAACAGTGGATGGGAGCAGAATTTATACTGTTTTTTTTTGAACTGGCTTAGTTATGACATCAAATCCTGTACCTCTATGAGAACATAAGTTAACACCCACAGTCAAAGCAGGTGTGACTGGTTCACCATCCCTGCCACCAAATTTAGTGGCAGATCATGAAGATCTATTAAATCTAGATTGATCACGACTGATTACTATCAAGATCAATATTAATGTATATATAGTGTGTCTTGGTATTTAACAAAATTAATAAGAACAAGCTGAAAAACCATTACCTTTTAAATACCTTTGGCATGGCTTTGAAACTTGTGGCACTGCAATCAGAAGTAGGAGACTTAATGGCTTCAGTCATACTTGCAGAAGAGTAAACAGACCTAAAAAAAAAAAGAAGTGGTTGTCAGCTTTCTATTTTTTTTATTTCCTCCTTATCTACTGTAGAGTTTTATCTAGGATGAAGACAGACAGCTGATGAGTTAGAGAAGCGCTCCATGACATAGATCTAGTGGATATAAACGTGAAGCCCTCCTGAGGTAGACATGATATAATGGGACCTAAAACCACAGGGGAATGAAAGGATAATTTATGTTAGTAGGTAGGAGAGGGCTGCAATACCTGAGTCGGGTATAATTAAGGGAGCATCCACAGCTATCTGTCTGAGTGGGGGAAAAATTTCTTGTGAAGTTTCTTTTTCAGCAGGAATTAATTTTTCTGTATTAATTCTCAGGGTATTTATCCTATGCAGTTGCCCTGAATGAAAAGAACAGTTTTTTTCCAGCTTGGATTTTAACTCTGTTCACAGAAATCTTGATGACAGTTTACCTCACTCTTTCCTCTTACCTCCCTTTTCCCACACACATTTTAGAGATAGTGTACAGGCACGTGTTTTTGGCCCAGTGTTAGTGTACTTGAATAAAAGCAACCTTCAAAGACTGTGAAGTTTTTTTTTCAACTTCCCCAGGCAAAGTAGCCTTCTCTAGTTTGATTTTGTCGAGCCAAGAATTCTATAATTCCAATTCAAGAAAGTAATTGAACGTGGCTAAGATTTAAAATTTATTTTGAGCTCATTAAACACTGATACATTATTTAAATTGCATTTCTCTGAAAACAATTGGAATGTATCAAATTAAGTGCCAGTGGGAACAGGTATGCACACTGGAGCCATAGGCATAGCAGGAGCTTCTCAAAAAAATTTTCATGCAGATATCCACCAATTTTTTAATTCATTGGATCTCTAGTGAGACTTTAATTTGGTCCATCTTGACTGCAAGTAACTCTGTGGTACTTTCCCAACTATGTATTTTCCTGATGATACCTCCCTTTCAGCTATGTATGAGAGCAAAATTATGACAGAACAATTCATTAGTCCTAACAGAGCAACAAAGATTATTCCCTTACACATGCTCTTCCATTAAGTATTGTCTGGAAATCTATAGATTATATAGATTCAGAACTGTGCACCATTCAGTGAGTGAGAGAGACAACTACATCGCTTCATCAGCTAGAGGTGCTTTTTTGTTCAGTGTTCACATCATGCCAATGTCTCTGATTCAGGTTATGGAAGACATCTTTATCAGGTGTATTCCTACTGGCCCTCAAATCTCAGCTACTTTATCTGAAAATACTTTTAGTCAGCATTCTCAAGTTCAGGTGAGTTACATAACCTGTCAAAGATCAGTCTTACCTAGAAAGAGGGTTCAGTTTGTCATTTAAACCAGAGGCCAGTGAAACCAATGACTTGGTTTTGGAAACCTGAAAATGTATATGTAAGACTGCAGTTAAAAGAAGTGGCATTTTACGACAAAATGATAGATATGTCCAGGGAACAACACTGTAAGAATTACCTGTTGAAAAAGAACAGGTAATCCCCATAATGCTGCCTTTTATATAGTTCTACATATACATGAAATAGCAAATACACACTCCAAACACAGAGGTTCATAATACCAAAACATATTTGCTCATACTGAAGTTCTGTACAAACAACCACCTTTCTAATACACACCCTTCCAACTTGTAAGCCCTCTTATAATTAATGCCTGTAACTCTACATATAATCTTTTTGTCTTTGTTGGCATCTTGCTACATTCTTCAGTGTCTGACTGAGGTACTGCATTGCACAGATGGACTGAGGTGGTAAAATTAATACACCTGTGCTATCTGATTTAAAGGTCAAGGTGGACAAGAACACACAAGTCATTCAGATATAGAAAAGCATGTATTAAAACATGAAGGTGAGTTGTTTTTTTTTTTTTGTTTGTTTGTTTGTTTGCTTTTTTTAAAAAAAAATGTTTCAACAAAAAATGGTTCCTCAAACCATCAAGATTTATTGGCAAATCAAGAGAGAATGACTATGCCTGTGTTTGCAAGTCTGTGTGAATGAGTTACTAGAAGTGCAGATACCATATTTCATTATGAAATTAACTTATTATACCATTTAGCCTTCTTTACCTTAAAATACATAGAATTTAAATCAACTGATTTTTCAAACAAGTAGCAGGCAGCTCGCCTGCCCGGTCATGGATCTAGCAGCATTCATAGCAGGTCAGAACTGATTAAATCCTTATGTTTGTTTAGAATAAACTTACTTTTTTAGGTATTTTCTTTGCAGACATATGCTTGGCATCTTCATATTCAACAATTGTAGTTACCTTAACTAGAAATGCATTAGAAAAACAAGGAAAATAAAAATGTCACGAAGAGCACAAAGCACCGCTTCAAACTCATTTATTTGAAGCCCATTTACCCGCTGACAGCTACATATCAGCTCTGCTATCTGATGGTCATTTGCCTGGGACAGAGTTCAAAGCAAACTGTGTGTGTTTGTCACAGACACTGTGACACATGGGACAGTTAAAAGACACTACGTAATAGCCCTTCAACCCCCCGGAGAGAACAGAATTACATTTCAATGGCAGTGTCCTTCTTATTGCGTATTTTGGAGTATGAAGAGAAATGGTATTTTCCTTACAAACCTCAACAGGCAGGAGGTCAATGGGGAACCTATGAGAAAACAGGGGTGACTTTCCTAGCTCTTCTGCAGTAGCGTAAAGCACTAACAAGTGACTAACATCTGTCTCTCCTTGCCATTTTCAGTGACAAATCCAAAGGGCAGGAACTCTTACCCCCTGTGGTAAAACACCTCAACAGTAGCAAAGCTCATGATCCTTCACACTGAATGCTAGGGGGACCTGTATTTTATACTTCTAGCTATACACTTTTCCCTCTTGTGTCCTTCAGCCTTAACAGTCACTTTACAAATGCTCAGTTCAAACCACTAAAGAAAATTTAAGAACCAAACTATACATTAATGGACTGACTTGCCTTTTCTGCTATTGGTCCTCACCAGTTTTGGATTTGGTATGTCTTCTAGAGAGCAGTCAGTCTAAAAAAAATGTTTATCCAACAAGGGAAAGTCAATAGATTTTGCTGAGTAAATGCATATTATCCTACAAAAGGCAGTGCACTAAAAGAGCATAAAAGAAAGTAACTGAAGTGGAATTGGCTAAACACCAGTTTATTTTTTTCAGAAACATCTGGATTTCTGCCTGCGGATGACCCTAAAGCTTTAGGTAATGTTGATAACAGCACCATGGCTGCCTGTCTGGCTTCTTCATCTCATCTTCTGTTAAATATAGTGCCAAACAAAATCATTTGTCTGAAATGTTTACAGCAGGGAGAGAAGACTTCTATTCTGTAAGCAGTGATAGAATTCAAAGACACACTTACCACCACAGCAGCAAGAGCCATTTCCTCCCCTCCTCGCAAATCTGTAATTCAGGAAAGTTTGACTTGTTTATATACTATTACTTGCATAATTATTATCTGCACGTTCTTATCTTATGGGCTACGAAGCTGAAAAAGTAATTAAGGAGTACAGTTGCTTAAATAGTTAACCTCAGCTAGCACTTATGTTGCATTTGAACAAGATTCAAGTCTTGTACAATAGTCACTCCTACAAAACAACAATGAAAATCTTAGGCCATTTCAGTATGTTTAATCTCTGAAAGGGCACTAAGTGTAGTCACCCAGTATATAACCTGAATTCAGAGAAGAAAAAAACATATACACTGCTGCTGAGAACTAGTGCTTTTAGGCATGTTTTCAAGGAAGACATTGAAATACGTACACAGCAAAAGCTTACAGTAAACTCAAGTCCTTCAAGAGTCTTAGGTTTGATCTTTGTGTAGCCCCTGCAATTTCCAGCTGCAAGATAAGATTCCCAAAACATCAGTTCTCACCAGAATATGCATCTGACACTGAATGTACACCAAAGCTTAAACTGCTGCATAAATGCGACGTTAAAATTAAACTTGTTAATTTACCATCACAGGTAAATAACTAGATGAGAAAGGCTCAGTAGTAAAAGACTTCAAATTAACAGAAAGGCAAAATAATCTATGTGACTAGGATGAACAGATTCAGATGGAAAGAAGTGCTTAAGTTTTCATGCACAGAAAATACCAGACTTGTAATTATTCCTTCTGTCTTCAGGCTTTAAACGACTTTAAAGCACCCATGAAAGAAGGCTCCAGACTCTATACGCTGTTACCTACTAATTCTATATCCTGTGTTACACAGGTCAGTCTACTTAAAGTGTTTGCTGAGCACCTGCTGTGTAGTACCGCTGCTGATGAGTTTAAATATTCAGCAGACAAAGCAAACACTTTCACAAAAGTCACCAGGTTTACAGGTTTTCTCATAGTAGTCAATGGTAATGATTTCTGCATCCCTCACAAATATAAGACCTCGCACACTTACTAAGCAAGTCTTTTCTTTTCATTTTCCTGATGGCAACAGGCATCTTCAGCAGCTCCACTGTAAACGCCTTCTCAGCTGTTTGTAAAATCGCATCAAGTTCCTTCTTCATTTCCTGGATATGTTCCTTGGCTTGAAAACAAAGCAGGCTTTTATTGCCGTGTATGTTACATATTTCCAAGTACAAGCACTGGTAGATTGCACTAGAAAATAAAGCTAAAACAATGTTTCACCGGGGTAATCGGACTTGGGAGTCCGAGCGCCTGGAAGTCGCCATCGGACATTCCTCAGGCTGACGAGAGACACGGCGCAGGCCGGCAAGGACAAGCGCCGCGCCTCAGGCCGGCAGCGACGAGCTCAGGAGAGCCCTGCGCCCGGCGGGCCGCCCGCCATAGCGGGGCTGCGGCCCGCTCGGCCCCGGCCGCGCAGGCCCCGGCGGCCGCCAGGGCGCCCCCTTCCGGCGCGGCGGCGCCCCGCAGCCGGCCCGAGCGCGGGCTCGGGGCTCTGGGCGAGCGGCGCCGCTCCCCTGGCCGGGAGCCGCCCCGCGCCGGCCAGGGCAGGGCAGGCGGGCGAGCACCGCCGGTGCCGCCACGGCAGCGCTCTGGGCAGCTCCAGGGTGCCGACCCGCGCCGGGCGCCGCCTCAGCACCTGCGAGCGCCGAGGGCGCGAGGCAGCGCCTGGCCCCCGCCACCGTCCCCCGGCCCTACCCTGCTGGTCGAAGTCGCTGAGGAAGAGCGCGATGCGCTGATCCTTCTTCTCCTGGGAGAGGGCCCCGCGGTCGCGCTCCACGCCCGAGTCGGTGCTGCGCCGCTTGCCCGCGGGCTTCCTCAGGGGCATGGCTGCCACCCCGCCAGACAAACGCAACGCTCCGCGCCCGGGAAGCTTTTGTAAGAGCGGGGGCTTCTTCCTCCCTTCCTCCTCCCCCTCCGCCCCGGGCGGACACACCCTCAGGGGCGGTGGGAGCGGGCGGCCCCGGCCCCCTGTGAGGGGCTGCGGGCGTGAGGGGACGGGGCGTCGCGGGAGGCCCTGGTCTGTGGGGCGGGAATCCCGGGGGTCCCCGGCCTCTGCTGTCGGAAGGGAGGTGCAGGGAACCGCCGGGGGTGGGAGTCTTGGGGTCCCCCGTCTTGGTGGTGTCCCAGGGAGGGGCTTGGGCACGGCAGGACAAGCACAAAGCCGGGGCCCTCGCGTCCTGACAGGACCTGGGCAGGCTTACCTGCAGGCACACGCGCTTTGCCCCGTGGCACAAAATTAACTGGGCTTTTTTGTTAATTGCTTTGAAGCGGCCACGGCTGAACCCGGCACATGAGGAGCTGCGGTAGGATGGGTTGACGGCTTCCATCCCCGCGGTGAGTAGTAACCAGCGCCCGAACGCGGGCCCAGGGCCGGGCACGGGCGGCAGTTGTGCTGCCAGGGCTTGGACAGGTGCTGGAAAACCTTTTTGCTGTGTAGGAAGGACCCAGTTTCAGAGCTGAGGTTTGGTTTTAGCTATTTTACTGGTGTTCAGTGTTCGGAATAGGCAGTGTTTCAAAACTAGCAACGTGAATAACCTGTTTTGCCTGATGCAGATGGTTACCGGCTGTGTAAATTCTCATCAGGTGAAGAGAGTATTTAATAAACATGTAATAATGTGGCATATTAGAAAGGCATGACTATACGTAATATTGAATCTATAAAAACTTTCAAAGCCATACAAAGTAGAATTCCTTGCAGAAACTTACTATCTTCATGCATCCAAATAAAGAATCACAGCAGAGTTTGTAGATGATGTTGAAAGCTCTCTGAAGTTGTTAGCTTTTTCTGTATCACATGCGTCTGGCACAGTATCCTTATTTGCTGATCCAGATGGGACAGCCTATGTCACTTAAAAGAAGCTGTAAAAAAATCTGACAATTCATAATATAACTTTTATATCAGACTATGTTCTTGTTTGTGCAACAGCCAACTCCCAAAAGAGACCAGGTAAATCTTTCTTTCTGCTCCAGAAAACACTCAAATACCTGAGACAAAGAAGAGAATAGCCTGTTTTGCTTTTTTTTTTTTTTTAGTGTTGCTTAGCTTGCTTTTGCTTTTTTTTAGTGATACTGGCATATGTATATATGTTTAAGGAAGCAGGACTAGCTTCCCTTTCCCTAAACTTAATTTTCTTTTGAATTACCAAATACCACTAAAGTCATTTTGAGGTGTCACTGCAAAAGGACAAGATTGTGTTGCTCACTAAGTTTCTTCCCATACAAGGTGTGTAAGAGATTTTTTAACAAAGAAACAACTGGCAACACCAAACCCCTCACCAAAGTTTCCAAGCCACAGTTGACCAGCCTTAACTGACTGGCTGATCCTCTCTATGAAGAAAAAAGCCTGGCTTTCTTCACTCCTGGTTACAACTCCTTACATAAAAAGATATGATTAATTATGAGCATAAAACATGCCTAACAATCCCTATGTATAGTTCTCCATTGGTAGGGAATAGTTTTGTGGTAACAAGTTTGACAAATTTCAAGTCCACAAATTGGAGTGATGCAGAAATCAATGGTTTGGTACATGGATTAAAGTTAATACTAGTTTGAACATGAAATTAAGTGCCTCATAGTTCAATGCAGAAAGTGTTGCTTCAGTGACATAGGAAATGGAGAACTGTGACTTTTTTTTTTTTTTACCATGTGCTTTATTATTTGGAAGTCTCATACATCTGAAGTACCATTATAAGGAGCACCTGTAGGAAAATCAAACCTAGAAGCATGCATTTGAAAGTAAAGATTGTCTGTTATTAATGAAATAATTCGAAGACATTGAAAATAAGGTTCTTTTCTTAGCTTTACAGGATTGTTCCACAAAAATGCACATTAACCGTATCACAGTACATACAAATATTGTGGATGGACAATAGAAATCACCACCCTTCCATATGAGATGCATCAAGAACAAAGTGTTATCCCTTATAATGTCAGAAACATAAAAGGCACCATAATAGAATGTTTAGAAAAAACTCAGTTTATGCCATTATATTTTGATTTAAAAGTGTAAGAATTGCTGTCCCGACTTAAAACAAAAAGCCTTTCACACCTGTAAATTATCATTAGAAACTTGTAAACCTTTATATTTTTTTCCAGAAGTATCAGGTGCAAATGCAAGGCAAATATAAAATCTATTGACTTATTAGATTACAAATACTACCCCATGAAAAAGCTGTAGTTACAAAAATATAAAAAAATATTCTAACTCCCATTGTTAGATCTTAGCGTCAATCTACACTGCATTATGAGTCCAAAGCCAGATCTGATTTGGACACATTCCTAGAATAGGAAAATGCTGTTTGTCTTATTTTTACATCAATATTCTGACCTCTAACTACGGTTTTGCTTTCTGGATTTTTTTTATTAGTGCATATTAAGGATGCCAAGTGGAGAGTGCTAATAGATAAAGGGTTGTATTTATCAATGGATAGTAGCAATGTAAGTGTTCTCAGTCTGCTGTCCTCCAAAAAGTCTATTTCTCCAAGGACAAAAGGAGAATTTTTTTTTCCTCCAGGCCTCCATAGTAACTCTGTGTAGCAGCGTGCCATTTTCATTTATGAACCTGTGACCACTGGCAGGTGATTGAGAAGTACTAAATTCTTCTCACAGACTTGAGTAAGGAACAGTGAGAGGTACAGCAGCTGCTAATGGTTTGTCATAGACTAGTAGCTGCTGTTACAAGGACAATTATTGGCAACATCTCTTGTCTTCCACACATAAGAGGTTGGCACATGCTTTATCCATAGGGTGATTCTCTAGCCCTTGGCTTTAGTAACCTGGATCAGCATAGGATGTTGAACCAGCTACAAAGGCAGCCTAACATAGTGCTAGTAGACATGAAAATTAGTTTACTCGTAAATAATAACTTTATGATTAGATTAAATGAGATGTTCTTAATGAATAAACTTTGTAAATGCTGAGCCTAAGCCTGATAAATGTTAATGTTTTCATGGCTGAGTACCAGAAGCTGTGTTTCTTCAGTCCTTTATCAGTGCTAGCAGAAGGTGTCTAGTTTCCAACTCTAGAGAAGCCTTCTTTTGTTGTGCAGGGAAACTGGCATAGATTAGTAGAGTAATACAGCTGTACTGCTAGATAGCGAAATGGTTTAGCTGGGTTTTTATAAGCACCCAGGATCATTCAGCCAGCAGTATGACTGTGGAAGATTTAAGAGTGTACTATCGTTATCTTTATGCTTGGTGCAAGACATTTTCTTTTAAATACCTTTTCCTTCATTAGAAACCACCCCCAGCATTTCTCCTGCTAACAACATTCGTTAGTCTTTGCCAGTTCAAGCTGGATTTTGGCCAGCCAACGGGTCCCTCAGTCATGTGGTTCCAAACAAACGTTATAGATAAAGCAATTATGAAATAGTTTGTATTTTACCTTACTTGAAAGGATTGATAGTACTCACATCTGCTTTGAAATAGGAATTTACTATGTTCCATGTATATAGAAGATGTGAGTTAACAGAATTGTGGAGTTGTTGTGAGAGGAAGTGCTCAGTGGTCTTATGCTGGGATGATGTGTTGAATAGCATAGGAATAAGAAGCTAATATTCCTCATTACATTTCAGTTTCATACAAATAGGGTTCAAGCAGGTACTGTGTTCACTCCTCTGATCAAAACTGTATATTCTACTAGGATTATGTTGTGATGACAGGATTTCTTTTTAACAGAAGTACAAAGGTATCTGCACACATCTGCTAAAGATTTTTTTTTTAAATAAGCATGATGTACCTACATGCTTAATCAAATTTGGAGAACACTTCATACTTAACAACAACAAAAATTAAACCAAACAATACCTATAATATAAGCTTTTGAATTTTTGTTTAGTAGAATTTTAAGATGGGAAGCATGTTCCTAGCTAAACAATTGCTCTTGGCATTTCTGTTTTGTAAAAAATCCCCACACAACAGTAGTAATTTTAATGAGAAACTCCCTTCCCCAGCCTGTTGAGTCAAAAGCTCATGAATGTAACTTCCAGTCAAGGCACAAAATCATTTACTGACTTTCTTCTTGCTGCTTTCTTCACATTCTCCCCTTCCCCTTTAAAAAAAAGTTGGTGTAACAATGTCTTCTATACCAGACATTAAATTTGATAGTCTAATAAGTTGTAGCAGTATCTGAGATTGGTTCTATCTATTTTGAATTTAGTTAAATTAGATGAACAGCACATTCTCAGCACACCTTTGTTCATTTTCTGCATTCGCCTTGAAGGGGACGGGATGGGGGGAAAAAGCCACAATAGTTTCATGCATATTTTTCAAGAAACTTTATGTGGAAGTCTTTCACTTTCTCCAATAGAATCTTCAGCTTCTCTACTGGAGGAAGAATGGTCATTCTGAAAAGTAATATTTAAAGGAAGAAAAAAAAAAAGCTCACATTATCTTCGAAACAAACTCAACTGTGATCTTTGCACAGATCTTGATTAATCTCAGGGCACAGCTAGTAATGTGTTAAGTTTGGTATCTGTTCTGATGTGATTCTCTTCTGCATTTTTGCTTTAATTGAAGTGTACTATAAAACTACAGCAATTTGTTTCAATTGGTTAATACATAGGAATTTAAGAACTGTTATTTTCTGGTGAGTGATAAAGAAGGTTATCGGTGAAAAATAACAGCAACTCAGTTTCTATTTTTGGGACCATTTTACCCAGTTTTTTGAGCTTTTGGGGGTGGGCAGTTATGAGTAAATGTACATTTCTTTTTGCATTGAAAACTTAACTCAGAAGCATTAAAACAATGCAACGTCCCACACTGCAGTTCTTAGTCCCTTTTTTCCTTCTTCTGCATAATCTGAAAATCACACTGAGTATTTATGCAAGACTGTGTGCAAGACCTACAGAACAAAATGTTTCTCCCACACTGGAACAGGAATGGACTCACACTAGCTTTTTTCCAGAGCTGAATGCACCCAGATATCTAACCCAGCTATCTGTGCTGCAGACTTATCATGGCTAAGGGTACCCTCTGTTACGTTGCTTCAGACCAAACAAGACTAAATTTCATGATAAATTCTATCTATCAGTGGTTCAGCTGGAGTAAAGAGCTGTTTAGAGGAAGCTTAAGCAATAGAGTTTATATTCACAGTTTTGGTATGAGAAGATTTAGTCCTATACCTTGTTTTGGTAAAATGGAGAGCTATTCAGAGTGTTTAAGGAGCAGATTTCTAGAGAAGACACTGTATCTTTCATGCAGTTTCTCCATATGGGAACACTGTTTAATCCCCCCTCCCCCCAGAAGAAAGCAAGGCAGTTTTTGTAATGCTTTAGCCAACTTTAAGATTAGAGTATAAGCTATTATTATTGTTTGTATTTGTGGAGAAGGCATTTC